ACACTTGAAATTTGGACCAGGGATCCTTTCCATGCAGTCCCTTCACTTTTGTCCAGGCGTAGCACTGAATAAAGCCAGGCCTGCCATCTCAACGGGACACCAGAAGGCAAGCTTAGCTCTTCATCAACAAACTGCCCCAGCAGGCAGCTTGCACCAACTCCCCTGGGGTGCTGCCAAGGACACCACACCTCTGGGTGTTTCCGTGTGTGTGTGTGTCTGTGTGTGTGTGTGTGTGAAGGGCCGTCCAGTCACTCCCAACTCATGGTGAACCTATTAATTAATGTCCTCCAAAACACCCTATCGTCAACAGCTTTGCTCAGGTCTTGCAAACTGAGGGCCATGGTCTATTGAGTCAATCCGTCTCACATTGGGCTTGGGTCTTCCTCTTTTCCGACAGCCATCAACTTTTCCTGGCATTATTGTCGTTCCCAGTGACTCTTGTCTTCCCACAATGTGACCAAAGTACCGCAGCCTCAGTTCAGTCATTGCCGTCTCTAAGGAAAGTTCAGGCCTGATTTCATCTCGATCTGTTTCCCTACCAATGTCTTCAACAGCAGCCCAATGCTATGGAGGCGAAACTTTTACTAGTATAGAGGGCAAAACCAGTGCTGGGTAGCAAGAGAGCTTTTGCAACCTGTGTTTCTTACAGTATATGCTTATTCTGCATGAGATTTCATATTAACCCTATAAAAGCATTGACCTAATGGATGTATGCCTTGACCTAGATAGCCCAGGCTAGCCCGATCTCATCAGTGACATCGGCGAACAATGGCGGCGACGGTAGTACGGCGAGGCATCGGATCGACGGAGCGAGGCAGCGGAGGGACGGAGGCAGAGACGGAGGCAGAGCCATAGAAGGACGTGGTGACGTGCGCAGGCACAGCGAAGCCAGATCGGACGTTAGCTGGCCTATAAGTCGACACGAACCACGTACTAGAGGAGCCTGCCTAGAAAGAAAGCCGCCGGACTGAAAAAGACCACGCCAGTCACTGGGGACGCCAGGAACATCGAAGCACCGAGGCCCGAAAAGACCGCCCAGGAGCAAGCCGAGAACAGCGAGCGCTGCCACCTGGGTGCCGGTAGGTAGCCCCGACCCCTGTAAACATGTGGCATTAGTTCGGGATGATTTGGAACTGTGTAAACCGCTCAGAGACCCTCCGGGGTTTGGAGCGGTATAGAAACCTAATGTATAAATAAAAAATAAAATATAAAAAAATCAGATCTCAGAAGCTAAGTAAGGTCGGCCCCGGTTAGGACTTGGATGAGAGACCACCAAAGAAGTCCAGGGTCGCCAGGTCCCTTCGTCTTGCCAGTAGGGGGATCTGGGAGGCGTTCCGGGAGTGGGTGGGGATGTCCCCCGACGCACTGACGTCACCTGGAAGTGATGTCATTGCATTGGTGAAGCTGGGGGCAAAGCTCTGGTTTTGGGTTAAAACTCTATGGTAAAATTGGTGTCAAACCATAGAGTTTTGCTCAAAAACCAGAGCACCGCCGCAACAACATCACTGTTTTGGGGCAGGGTTTCCCCCGCTGGCCAGCAGCAGACCCAAATCCCCCAAGGCAGGGATTCCCCACCCGGACCTGGGAATGGCAACTTTAAGGGTAAACCACTTCTCAACATCTCTTGCCTTGAAAACTCTATCAGGTCGGCTGCATATCAGCACTTCCGACTACCAATGGATGTCTACCTCAACGCATCAGAAGACGTGAGCTCTGACTCACAAAAACGTACACGGCAATAGATGTTTTTACCCTTTACGACACCACTGGACTGTGCCTCTGCCTGTCGTGAAAGACCCAGGATCAGAGTCCACTCATTTTTTGTTTATATATCCTCCACTTTTCTCCCCCATAGGAACCCCAAAGCGGCTTGCAACATTGTTCTCTCCCCTCCATTTTATCCTCACAACAACCCTGCAAGGTAGGTTAGGCACACAGAGAGCGACTGGTCCAAGGTCACCCAGTAAGCTTCCGTAGCTGAGTGCGGAGGATTCGAACCTAGGTCTCCCAGATCCTGTAGCCTGACACTCTAACCACTACATCTGGTCACCAGTGTTCCCTCTAAGGTGAGTGAGTGTGAGCTAGCTCACAGTTTTCTAGCCTCCAGCTCACACATTTTTGTCTTAGCTCAGGAAGGAGGGCTCCAGAGCAAACTATGCCATAGCCATATCGCTCACTCACAACTTTAATGTCACGAGCGCACAACGTTGAATTTTTGCTCACAAGACTCCACAGCTTAGAGGGAACATTGCCTGGTGACGTGTTTTATATTGTTACATGATTCCTGTGTGTGACTCTGCCACACGATAAATAAATAAATCACTCCCGAAGATTGAAGACTGGATTAAAAAACTATTATTCTCAGTTGAAATGAACAAACTGACAAGAAAGTTGAATAGTATGGAAGCAGAAGATTTTTATAACAATTGGAAGGATTTGAAAGAGTATTTAGAAAAGTATTGGGAAGCAAAAGACAATTTGTTCAGTTTTAATAATTATTAAGTATAGAATGCTTAGGAGACAAGATAAGTAAAAAATTAATTACTATAGTGAAATAATAGTTACCTAGGGAATTAAAAAAAATTGATGTACTAAAAACTAAAAAAGAAGTGAGCAGGAGGTCGAAGCACTGGGGGAAGCCGTACAGTGGGGGGGGGGGAAGGGAGGTGGGTAGGGTATAGCAGGAACAAATGTAGAAAATTTAATTTTGACTATGAATGTTTATATCCTGAATAAAAAATTTTTGCAAAAAAAAAGATAAATAAATAAGTCACCACTACACCACACAGGGCAGGAGAGCCAATGCGGGCCCTGAGCACGTATAGCCTCAGTGACCTCTACCCTCCTTTCTTCTTTCACCACCGGATTCCTGCTCTTGAGGGAAAGGGGGGGGGGATTACATCTGCTATTGCAAACACTGCCCTGCCCGCAGCTAGAACTGGCACCCAAGAAGCGCATACAGCGCAGAAGGAACTTCCCCTCTGCCACAAAACCATTTGTTATTGTTCGGCGACAGGAAGCACGTGGATGCCACAATGCTGATTCATCACTCCAACCCCACCACAACTGTGACTCCAACACACACACCCCTTGCAAGGAAGACCACAACCGCGCATGCAGCAAACGGAGGGCTCTTTCCCAACATGATCACGGCCTATCCTCGAGGCGAAAACTGGCATGATTTCCTAGCAAGGGTGCTTCGGGTTATGTGAGACTCACAAGCAACCTTATTCTTTTACAAGGGTTACGCTTAGGGTTATGTGAGACTAACAAGCAACCTTGTTCACTCACAAGGGCCTTGGGCCCAAATTAATTTAATAAATTAGATACTCCTCTCCAATCATCTTCTCAAACCCAGGGCAATGACAAGCTGTTTGAAAGAACAGGTTTCTCCTCTCCCCGCATCTCCCCCTCCAGTTCATGTTTGTGTCGAGCGGAGATCCTAATTTGTGCTAATGATAGAACCTTGAAATCCACAGGGAGATAGCCACTAATTGATACAGAGTCAGGCGGCTGTGATCTTGTTTGTACGGCACCAGATTACGGCACATGGATTGCCACCATGCCCGTCAGCCTGTGTTCACATGGTAACTGACAAGAATCAAAGGATCACAAAGCTTGCCCAAATCCCCAGCGTGGATTGTGGGTGGCAATTCTCTTCAGCCAACATATAAGGTTGCATTATTGCTTATTAGTAAGCAATATCTGATCTGCAGGTAGGCATGAGAAGCAACTGAGCTTGTTCCCAGACGTCAAGGAATATTATAGCCATTTCCATCAAATTACAATTAGTTTGAACACACTCCAGTTCAGAAATCCAACTCCAAGGAGTTGCCCTTGTATACTACCCACCTCAAGGTACCCTACACACCTAGCTAGAGCAACCTCAGGATTCCTGCCTTTCCCATTCTGCCATCTTTCAACCAGACAGCTGGTCATCTTCTTAGGCCTTGCCTCAGATGCGCCCCCCCCAATGCATCTGAGGCTAGACAGGTGGTAACCCAAGAAAGGGCCTTCTCAGTCATGGCACCAAAACTTTGGAATGCCCTCTCCAGGGAGCTTCGTTTGTCTCCCTCTATTTTTTTGTCGTGTTTGGCATTCCCCCACTAACTGTTATTGGCCCTCCACCCCAGTTACATTGTTGTGTGTGTCCATATGTCTTACTGCAATATTTAATTATTTTATGTTACATTTATATTTTAAATGCTTTTTAAAAATTTGATGTTTAATGTTTAAGTGTTCACCAGAGCGGGAGAGAGACAAGTTTTTAAATTTGGGGATTAGAAACAGATTTGAACAACAACAATAATACAAACATACACCCAAATCCTTTAAGTGTGACAAGGCAAAACCTTTCGTTTCTGGAACTGGGGACACCTCAGGCTGCTAGGGAGAGGTGTGCCAACACCAGAGAATCTGGCCCGTCAGGAGTCCGAGGAGCTGGCTAGGGGAGCAATCTGTGTGTAACCAACCATCAAGTCGCAGTCGCTGACTAAGGATGGTGACCCCAGCAGGGTTTTCAGGGCAAAAGGCTAACAGAAGTACTTGCGGGGTATAAGTGAAATAAAATAAAAATAAATAAATAAATAAATAGCAACCCTGGACTTCCTTGGTGGTCTCCCACCCAAATCCTAACCCGGGCTGACCCTGCTTAGCTCCCGAGCTCTGACAGACCGGGCTAGCCTGGCCCATCCAGGTCAGGACTTCCACATCTGGCACAGGATAAGCCGCATGGAGCCCAATGGAGCCACGCAAGGCACCGCACTTTCCAAGCCCGAAGGCCACCGCGCGCTCTCCAAAATGCCATCTGCGGAGGAACGGGGTGTGTGGGGGGGGAATGCATTCCTTGCCTGCCCCGCCCCTCCCGCAACCTGTTGCTGCAGAAGAGACCCTCCTCGACCAGCATCCCCCCCCTTCCCGGCTGGTCATTGGCCAGAGGGAAGGGGGCGTGTGGGACAAGCCCGCTCGGCGCTCTGAAGGGGGGAGAGAGGCGCACTCACCGGGATGTGGACGCGCAGCATGCGCTTCTTCTGGCCGGAGTTCTTCTTGCCGCCGCCCGGAGCATCTTTCTTCTTGGCGTCCATGGCTGTGCTGCCCATTTCTCGACCTGCCCCCGTCGGCGGTTCGAGGAGGAGGCCCGCCGGAGCCCCCCCTCTAGCACGGCTTCTCGGCTAACTTTGAGCTCCCGGCCCTGCGGCGCCAAGGCCAACCGTGGGGTTTGGGAGGGGCTGAGGTCCACGGGAGGTCGGATCACCCCCGGGCCCGGGGGGGGGGGAGTCGTCTCGAATCCCCCAAGGAGAAGGCCGAGGTCAGGAGCGGGCGAGCCTCAAGCCGCGCCCCCTTCCTCCCGCCGCAGCATGCCCGCTCTCCGCCCTTTGCAACAACAACACGAAAAGGCGTGCAAGGAAAAATTAAGAATCAAGGTTTTGCGGCGAGCCTTCCGCCCGTTCCAAAAGACCCCGAGCTCCTGAGCGGGCGCAAAAGTTTCCTCCGTCTTCGCCCAGCCGCGGCGGGGGTTGGAGGGGGCGGCCCCTTCGTCAGCGCGCCCGGGAGAGAGGAGCCGAAAGGTGGCCGCCGCTTGCAAAGCGCCGCCGGCGAGTGCCAAAGAACGCGAACATCGAGGAGTCGAATCCTCCTCCTCCTCCTCCTCGCAGGGCCGATCCGGATGCGGGGCTGAGGTCCGGGTCGGTCAGGATGCCTCTCGGGCTGCAATCTGGTTTCCTCTCGGGCTGCAAAGCGGGAGTCTCCGAGCAGCTGCAGTTTGCAAGCTCGGGGGGGAGAGAAGAGAAGGCGACTCACCCGCGCTGTGGTTCCCTTTTCAGGCTTGCAAAGGAGGCAGTGACAGCCGCTGGCGAGGGAGGCGGGCGAGCCCAGCCCTAGCAAGGGAGGCGGTTGCGAGGCGTAACGTGTGTGTGTGTGTGTGTGTCTGTGCGTCTCCCTTCGCGATCTCGGGGAGGAGGCGGCGGCTGCAGAACAGGAAGTGCAAAAATCTCGAAAGGCAACTTTCTCCGCGAAGGGCCTGCTGCTGGCGAGGCCGACGCACACGCCCCTCTCGCCGCTTTCCCGTGCCTTTCCCAAGGTCGAGCGCGGAGGGGGCTCTCCACGAGCAAAGCCCTGCAGCTGCAAGGGCATCCCCGGAGCCTCCGGCCTGAGTCATTCCCGGGGAGGAAGTTTCTGGGCTGTTCTTGTTCTGGCAAATCGCGGGGGGGCGGGCGCGGCAGAGGGTGCATCGCTCCCTCCTGAAGGGGGAAACGAGAGGCTGGGCTTGGTGACCTCGTGCGGGGAAGGGGGGTTTCTCGTGCTAATTTATTACCGGGGGGGGTGTGTGTTGCATTGCATTGTGCACACACGTCAACCCAGACGTTGTGGGATTCGGGTGGCTGGCGGTGCAATCGTCGACAGAGTTATTCCAGGCTACAACCGTTGATTTCTGCGTGTTTGCGCTGGAGTGATCTTGCACAGGTGATATTTAGACCGGAGTAAATCTTCCTAGGATTGCATTTTCGTGTTTCCCCTCCCTCCCCCGTGGGCATACACAGTTGCGAAACGCACGGCTTTTAATAACAACCTTCCCGCTGCGAGAAACGCCGATCGTCGATAGGTGGCGCTGTCGGCGCCTCCCGAGATGCGATAGGGCTCCAATGGCACTGAAAGCGAAAGGGCTGCCGTGGGAAACGAAACGAAAGAGTTTTTTCTTTCAAACAAAAACACTGATTTTCTGGAGAACGTCTTCACCGTAAAGATCCAGTTGTTGATTGCTTTTTTAAAGTTCTGCTGCTGCTGTTCGTCCCAAGGCAAGTTGTCAGTATGGCAAAATAATCATAAACTGTAAATTAGTGTGCAGTTTCCCGCATGGCACGAATTTCTTGGAGTCTCTGTTGCGCTCTCTGTGGGTTGAATCCCGTTTAACGTGGGCGCCATAGCAGAAGAGAGCCATTTTTAAATTGCGTGGACCTTGGAAACCAGGTGTTACCAACGTTGAGGAAAATAAAAAACTAGAAACATGTTTGACACACGATTTTACAGTCCAGCCTATTTATTCGGAAATTAGTTATGTAAGTGAAAGTGAATAATGTGTGTGTGTGTGTGACTAGGATCTGGGTTCAAAATGCCACCTCAGCCAGGAAGAAGAAAAAGAATAGATTGGATTTACACCCCACACATCACTACCTGAAGGAGTCTTAGAGCTGCTTACAATCTCCTTTCCCTCCCCACAACAGACACCCTGTGTGAGGTAGGTGGAGAACGGCTCCTGAGAGAACAGCTCTGAAGTAACTTGTAACTGACCCAAGGTCACACCAGCAGCTGCATATGGAGGCGTGAGGAATCAAACCAAATTCTTCCCGATTAGAGTCTGTGGTCCTAACCACGACACCAAACTGGAAGCTCACCTGGGTGACCTTGGAGAAGCGGCTGTGTGTCTCACCTACCTCATAGGGAGTGACAGAGGAAGGGGGAGCAATAGGGTCGCCAGATCTTCACCCCTCTCTGGCCCCGGGGATGGGGGAAAGTTTCCTGGCTGGGAAACTTCTGGAGATTTGGGGGTGGAGCCTGAGGAGGATGGGGACCTCAGGGGCGTCCAATGCCATAGTTTTCCCCAGGCGGACTGATCTGGGGAGGTCAACGTTTGGGGAGGGGAGGGGAGGGAGGTCAGCAGGGATGGGATGCCACAGAGCCCACCCCCCAAAACAGCCGTTTTCTCCAGGGGGACTGATCTCTGTAGTCTGGACTGGAGATGAGCTGTAATTCCAGGGGCATCCCAAGGTCCCACACAGAGACTGGCATCCCTACAGAACAAGGAGCTCTTTTTAAAATATTTATATTTTTATTAATTTTTGTAAATAATGTTAACATTGCTATAACAAGTATTTACATCTGCTAAGAAGTGAATATAGCACAATGTATAAACTATAACTTAACAGCTCTTATGCATACAGGGTATGTTTTCAATTTTCGGAGATGTATTTGTTCTGTCTGATGTAGCATAAGTACTTTACCTCCTTGAAACTATATGTTAAACTAGAACAAAAAATAAATGAATGAATGAAACAAAAGAGAACAGAAAAAAGAATTTCAAAGCAGTAATACAAACTTTCAGTCTTTAAATCCATTTGTGATAGTGTGTCCAATCAGAAGAGATGAATTGTTGTTGAGATGAGTAGTCAAGCACCAGGTACCATTTATCTGTGAAGATTGTTAGAGTTGGCTTTTGAGATAAGAAATTTATTTTATTTGTGACTGCATCCATTAAATAATGGCTCCATAATTTCTTAAACCACACCTCAATACTAGGTGCTTTATTAGCTTTCCAGTATGATGCAATCGCAGTTTTTGCTGCATCCAACATGACTTCCACCTTAGCTTTATGTGGTCTAGTTAGTAGATCTTTAGGCCAAACATTTAAAAACAAGATTTCTGGAGATAGCGGAGGGCTTTCTCTTTGGAGGAAGGGCAATAATTTTTTTTTTAATGTATACATGCACACACCTCGATTTTCATGCAAATGGTTTGCATTTGAACCATTGAAACTTTGTAGAACATAAAATCGGACAGAAGAGAGCAAGTGAGAGCGACACTCATGAAATGAACAGAGCTGGGCACGAGGAGGGGTGTGTCCTTGCTGCCTACTGTTGCCACCTCTGGGTTGGGAGGTTCCTGGAGGTTATGTGGGTGGACCCCAGGGAGGGTGGGGTTTGGGGAGGAGAAGGGCCACAATGGGGTGCAGTGCCCCTAGGGTCCACCTTCCAATGGGGTGCAGTGCCCCTAGGGTCCACCTTCCAAGGCAGCCATAGTCTCATGGGGAACTGATCTGTGTCAGTCTGATCAGCAGCAAAGAGCAGGTGATGTTTCTTGCCTGCATGCCATAGAAAGCATTTCTGCATTTTTAATCTCTGTTAAATGGATGGGCCTTTTTTTTCTGTTTCCTGGCCAGCTGGCAACCTTCCCTATCCCCTTTCCTCTGATGGCCCCATGTGGAAGCTGGAGAGAGGGAGATTCTCAGCTGGAGCTGCATTCATGCACCGTTCAAGAAGGACCCGGCTTCTTCCTGCCTCCCAAATTGTTGGGCCCTGAAATTATACACATCCTTAGCAGAGTGTAAAATTCATTGAACTCAAAAGGGCTTGCCTCTAAATAATTGCACACAATTATGCTGTGTGGTCCCAATGTAAACCTGTCCACAACTACATCGGCAAAAGACAGAAGAGACCCCCTCACTTCTGCAGGAGTATACCACATACCATGCAGTTGTGGACAGGTTTACATCATTCAGGACCACACAGCGTAGCATTCAGACAAGAATAAAAGAACATGAAAGGCACTGTAGACTGGGCCAACCTGAAAAATCAGCAGTGGCTGAACATCGCCTAACTCAAACAGGACACCGTATCTTCGTCCAAAACACTGAAAGGCTGGACAATACATCCAGTTACCATGTCAGATTACACAGGGAAGCCATTGAAATTCATAAACACAATTTCAACAGGAAAGAAGAGAGTTTAAAAACAAATAGGGCATGGTTTCCTGTCCTGAAAAACACAAAATGCTCTACATCTTACAATAGGACAACAGATAAGATTAGAATTTCAACAGCCAACCCATATGCAAAAGAAGCTCCTCAGGAAAGCTCCTCCATTAGCATGTCACAGCCTGGGGAACTCCCTAACCCACCTTCCTGAATAGATATAAATTATCTGCCTACCATTTTTCTTCTCACCTTGACACAGAGAGTACTCCACCTTTCTGTGTTACACCTCTGGGGATGCCAGTCACAGCTGCTGGTTAAACGTCAGGTCCTACAGTGCCAAGACCACGGCCATTCAGCCCAGAAAATCAACAACTAGCACAAATATTGCTTTGCTATTATTTATAGCAGGGGTCCCCAACCTTTTTAGAGCCTGTGTGCGTCTTTGGAACTCTGAAACAGGGCAGTGGACACTATCACAAAATGGCCACCAGCGGAGGTGGGGCCAGTCACAAAATGGCTGTGCCACAAGAGTCGGAGCCAACCACAAAACGCCGGGGAGAAAGCTTCTATCTATATATCTAATAGCCAAGTTGCCCCCTGAGTGTGGATCGCTAAATCAGCGCTCCGGGGGCACTTGGAGGGGAGAGGGAGGTTTGTGCACATGTGGGCCAGTCCCCACATGTGCACAAAAATCGAAAAAGTTGAAAAAAAATTCCGGGGGGAAGTTTAAATCCCCCCGAAAGTGACAGAGCGTCCCCTGCGCATGCACAGGGAACACTCTGTAGCTGGCCGCGCCGCTGCCGCCACCTCCTCCTCGGAGGCGGGCGGGGGGGACCGGCCTCGCCGCCACCGCCGAGCCCGGCAAAGGGTGGG